ATTTGCACAAATAATAGATTAAGACATGCCATACACTTATCGCAGAGCAGAAAAAAAATCTAGTTTCATTTGATGATATATATATATATATATATTAGAGAATGAACAGAGAAATTTCTTCATTCCATCAGGTAATATCAATATTTTCAGAGCCTCTGACTACCCCTCAGCAAACAAGACAAAATAATTAATATACTAATAAAGAAAACCTATAAACCCATTCATAATAATGTTCTTTCACCTACAATAACTCCTAGTACCATCCCAATCTAACAACAATAAATTATCTTCACTTTTTTGGATGACTATCAATAATTATATTATTTGTAGAGATAGCTAAAGTTCAACTTTCAATTGAAAGCTACTTTAGTAAACAAAAAAGAAAGTGCAACCGAAAATACCTCTAAAGGAGTAAGTGGACATTTCCCATTAATCCTGATTGCTCCAGGGCGTATAACTCGGCCAGGTTTTGTAAACTTCCCTTTCCAACCTCTTTCCCTTGCTTTTTTCATGTCTTCTTTTTCTTGCTTCCCACCGTCAAATACGCAACAAGAGAAGGCAACCATATCCTGCACATTAAGAGTAGGTTATACACTTCTTACAAAAAAGGAGTCGATAAACTACTAGTCTTTAGCAGTTAAAAAAACTATGGTGACTAAGAGTCGTAGAATTCATCATTTTATGTTATACACTTCTTACAAAAGAGGAATCAATAAACTACTAGTTTTTAACGGTGTAAAAACTATGGTGACTAACAGTCGTAGCAGTAATCTTTTTATGTTAAAAGGGCAATCATGATACTAACCTCCTCAAAGCGAAGATGTACAGAAATATACTTGCCAGCACTATTTGCACTGAGCTCTTTCATTCTTGAAACCAAAGTTTCCCCAAGGTTTCGTATTGGACTTGAAAACCATAAAGATTCATAATTTGCAAAGCACCTGAGTCTTTGAACAGCTGGAGGAGCATCAAATGATAAGCGGTTTGCAAAAGGAGAAATCCTTATAAGCCTGAGTCATTCAATCAGAAAGAAAGTAGTTTAAATTAAGACAACTATAAACAGTGTACTCTATCAATAGATAATGACAACTTGTCGATAGTAAAGTGGTACAAATATGCTGGTCTATGCTGCATGCATAGAGAGAAAAGATGGTCATTTTTTCTCCATGCAATGTTGCAGTAAGCAATAATGTCTAGAATCAGCATGTGTCACTCAAGTAAACTATGAAACAGGAGTTCAAACTCACTTTTCTTCAAGAAGCTTGGGTAGGACTACATCCTTATAATACTGAATGGATGACCATGCTTTAATTCTGAAGTTGTAAACATTGGTCAAATTGTGATCAAATCGTTCCATTATGTACTCAGGAATCTTATTAACAATTTGTACATCATTCTTCAAAGCACTGATGAAATAAACTTCATCATAGATATCTTTGAATTTGCTGAAAAAGTTGAAAGGTATACGGACTTCAGTTGACACGATAACAAAATGATTGGTAAAATATGATCGTATTACATGATATTTATAAGGAAAAAAGTGTAATACACAAAAGAAATGATGTGCTAACTAACAATTGTGATACATGAACCAAGAAAATTGAAAATCAAAGCTATTTTTGGTTCAAGGAAATTTTCAAAACTTTGATTTACTTCTCCTTGATGGTACACTAACAACATGACATGGAAACTGAAAATAGATTATCACAAACCTGGGATCTTGCCATATGCTATGAAAATGGAAATTCGGGATTAGAAGTGTTGCATTAAGATAACCAGCCACAGCAACTGCATTGCATATCTGCAGAGTATCAAAAATCAACCATGTCGAATTCATAAAATAGGTAGATAAAATGGAGGTAAAACATAAATGCTTAATAGAAACAAATGAGAAATATAACCAACCGATGTCCTCTGCTGATTCAAGCCTCCATTAGCCTCAACATATATGTAACCATTTGATTCAGGTAAACCTATAGTAGTTAAAAGAACAGCTCAGTTTAAACTAATGATGATAGTCAACAACCAAAAACTGTACTCATGCATATAAAATTGGAGAATGCATACACACATGCACATCAAAAAACAAAAAAAAATACCTCAAATCGGCCAATCACCAGAAATGGCACAAAAAACTCTTAATGCAGAATATTTACACTAGCATGTTAATGAGGCAGCTGACTTCAGAACATAACTGGATTTTAGCAGAAGTTCTAACAAGTTATCCTCTCACGTGGACGGACTGCCGAATCTACTCTCTCAATAGTAGTCTCAAACGCTGTTACTCAGACTCAACTTAAGGCAAAAGAAATCATATCAACCAATAGATAAGGGACAGTCCCACGCACCTTTAGCGCAAACAATGTTATCTTCTAATGCTAATAAGTCTCTTGGCTTAGTGGCTATAGGTTATTACCAAACTTAGTCAAATTGAAGACATGACAATACTATTGAAACTGCCATCAAAATAAGAAGCCAATAGGAATCCTCGGTTCTCCAA